GTTAGGGTTATTTAAATTATTAATTACATATTATATAAAGAGCATTTTTAATATCAAAACTCTCCATGAAATGCAACTTCAAAAATGTACTGTCTAACGAGCACAAGACACACAAATTAACTTAAATCACAGATCTCAAAGGGGTTACGCTCAGTATGTGTTCTTCATCTAATTTAGCAGCGAGCTGTTTTTGATTTGCCTCAGGCTTTTGCTTAGGTGAGATGATCTGAAACAAGAAATTCATCAGTCAGCTCCTGTTACTATTTTGCTAAAGCTGTTGCTAAGATACTAGTGTGCTTCATGGACTGAATCAGGACTTGAAGCAACAGTTTTATTAGTGTGATTCAAGTTCATTGCTTCTCATGCAGAGAAATTTCACTTGGGTATCAGCTTAATAAACACTGTCAAAAGTATTTTTTAAGTGAGGCAGGCTTACACAAGAGTATAACTGCCAAAAGGAATATTGTAATTTAAATCATCGATGTTGGCATATCCAAAAGCTACCTATTTGGTAATTGGACAGTCCGAAGGTATTAAACACCCTTCAATCAGCCCCAGTCTGCTATCTAATGTCTCTCACCCGTAAGCTATAAAACCTATCGGTGGTCTTTGATTATTCATGTTGGGTCAAGCAGAATTTTTACACTTCTGAGTGGCTTGTCATGGTTTTATTTCTGCTAATAAAGAAGGGATGATTGAGGAACATCTGTGGATGAGCACTCCTTTACAGCCTGTCTTTCTAAAGGATTTTGCAGCTATGAATTCTGGCTGTAAGCGTGATCTTCAGGCAGCCTCACTGAGGGCAGAAAGGCAGCTACAGCATGATAAATATTCTGATCATAGTTTTGGATTTGCCATTGTTCTTGGAAACATATTCTGTGCAGGAGATGCATAACCACGTGCCAGGCAGTGCTGACAACCAATTGGTTTCTATGACAACCAAGACAATACCAGGTTCCCTGATTATAATTGTCAGCCAGAGAGCAGGAACTAATCAGGGACACTGTTTTTTTTAAATATAATATAAAATTATTATTTATTATATATATATATATTCATATTACTGGTTGTTTAGCCTTTACCTTCTGTTATCTCCAGTTTAATTGGTTAAAATAACTATGAATGAACGAGAACAGTAACAATCCAGGTTATTTTTTCTGTGCAGAATTTTAGTTCTTTTGATTTAAAGCACTATGCTGAGAGTCTAAATAGCAGTAGTAGTAAAGCACGCAACGGCTAAAAAAATATTGACCAATAAAAAGTAAAAGAGAGATCTTTAGAACTGATTCAGTCTATGCAAGGATTGTCAGAACTCTGAAACTGTGAAAAAGAAAACTATATATGTGTAACATGGCTATTGTGTTTATAGTATACAGACTGAGAGCGATCTACACAAGAATTCCATTTGCCTTGACTGAGGGTTTTATGCACAAATGGCAAATAAAGAACCTTGAACTTTGTATTGTGAACAAGCAAGATACAACCAATAACTGTTATTTCCATCCGCCTCTCCATGACATGTAGTTATATTTCTAAAAAGGGACCTCAGTGCATGGTAACATGAAAGAAGTGGCACTGGTGGCATCTGACCAATCCATACAAATGTAGATCTATATTTTTATCAAATCAGCTGATTTTGCAGAAGAAGATAAAACTATATTGTATGAAAAATATGAAAAGATAACACAAATAATATAGATGAAAGCAACACCAACACAGCTCCTGCAGACAAAGCAGTGGCATGAATGTGTGCAGCAGTTTACTGTTAAAAGTGCTGCAAGAATGTGTTTTCTTCAGTACGACCGCTAAAGATCTACTATAGTAAAGTCTAGCCCATTCAAAGCCAAAAAAAAAGGCTGGCTGGTTATTTAACAGACTTACTGTATCAATATCACAGTATTATCATTCAAACACAGGAGAAAATTGTTTTGTTTTTTTTCCACCTGCAGCTTTGGTGGTGTTTAACAGTTTGAGAGAAAGTAAAACAATAAATCTAAAAAACAGAATTCAAATGTTTCCTTAGTCTCAATGTAAATTTGATGTAAGATCAGCAAGTACATATAGGTGTCCTGTTTTAGGACCAAAGATGAATCTTTATAGAACAATACAATTTTTATAAAGTTGTTTACAGTTAACAGTAAAAAACAGTTTCAGCTATATTTATCACCAAAGTTCATTAGGGAAACATAAAGACTTTGGGTGCTATTAAAAAACTTTCCGGCTGTCCATACACAGAAGTCCAAGGGATTTTCCTCGAATGGTGAAGCTATTTTACAGCGATTTGATTGGTCAGCGATTTAATACCTGTTGGTCACTAATCTAGAAGATAATCATGCTCAAAATGTAATTAACTGGACTTTTGGTCCAAAAGTTTTCATACCAGAGGCATGGCAACAATCATTCACTCTAACTTATTAATCAACCAAAGACCCAGACAGAGTTTTAATTCATTTGAAAGCCTGACTTTGAGCCTTGTCCACTGTAACTGGAAAACTTAAAAAACAGTTTTATTTGTTGTTATGTATTGTTGACCTGGTGCTTACTCAGAGTTTTTATCTGATTTCTCAGAGTTTTTATCTGATTTAGGGGTCAGCTCAGATAAACACATTATTGTCTGTGATTTTAACATCCATCTAGATAGTCATCTTTCAAAATTTAAAAGAAGCCACCCATAACTTTAATCCCGCTCTAGATCTTGTTCTGAGATATGGCATAGAAACTGAAAAGTTAACAGTATTCCCAGAAAATCTGCTTTTGTCTGATCATTTCCTAATAACATGTACATTTACAATAATGGATTACTCAGCAATGGGATATAAATTTCACCACAGCAGATGTTTCTTAAAGTGTGTAACTAAGTTTATAGATATAATTTCCTTCAAACATATAATTCTCAAACACACACCTTAAAGCAGATAACTCATAATCTGGAGAGGAAATGGTGTCTCACTATTTTAGAAGATCTCCATTAAGCCTGGTAAAATTGTCATGGTCCCTGTGCCTCCCCGGCCAGCCCAGTGTGGCCACAAGTGTTTGTTGTTTTTCTCTCACTCCGTCTCTCCTACCTGTCTGCCTGGGCGGAGCTCTGATTGGGCTCCTGCCCTTGGCCCACGCACCTGCAGCTGATCTCGAGCGGATTGCAGTTCTCTGGCTCTTAAGGCTGGGGCTCTGAGCTGTTCGTCGCTGGAATATTGAGTAACTCTCGTTAGTATTGCCTGGCTTCCTTGCGATTCTACTGTTCCCGTGTTTGCCTTCGACTTACCCTCGTCTGTGTAAACAGGTTTACCTGGATCAGCCCTTTTGTGACCCCTGGACCCCGTGAGTAGGAGAGTGAGCTGAGCTGCTTGTGTGGAGACTGTTTGGACGAGGAGCAGAGCGAGTGCGAAGAAGTGTGTCTCCCCAGCCAAGTGATCCCCGGGACCCTGGTGTTTCCCCCCCCTTCACGTGTATATAGTGCACCAGTGTGATTAATAAAGTGTCGTTGAACTGTGCTACCTCAGTCTGCGCCTGAGTCCGTTCCACTCCCGTGACAAAAATAGTTTGTTGCTCTATAAAAAAGCCATGTGTAAAGCCAGAACATCTCACTATTCATCATTGATTGAAGAAAAAAGAACAACTCCAGGTTTCTCTTTAGCCAGGCTGACAAAAGGTCAGAGCACAGTTGAGCCAACCATTCCTTTAACGTTAACTAGAAATGACCTCATGAATTTTTTCACAAATAAGGTTTTAACCATAAAAAAAAACAACTGGTAATCATTAAAGCATCTAAGTAATCATTAAAGCATCGAACAAATCATTAGCAGGGGAGTTTTTTTTGGGGGGGGGGAGTTTCAATCAGGGTTCACAGCTCATTACAATAGGGAAACGGCATTAACGCCATGGGGATTATAGGCACAGTGATGCTGTGGTTTGAATCATATCTATCTAACACACTCTTCACACACAAAGGTTAACTATAGAGCTCCATAGGGTTCTGTACTGGGACCTATTCTTTTTACATCATACATGCTTTCCTTTGATACCATCATTAAAAGCCATAGCATACATTTTCACTGCTATGCAGATGACATCTAACTTTATCTATCTATGAAGCCAGATAACACACCTCAATTTATTAAACTGCAGGGATGTCTTAAAGACATGAGGACCTGGATGACCTCTAATTTTTCTGCTTCTAAATTTAGATAAAACTGAGGTTATTGTACTCACCCCTAAAAATCTTATCTAACCAGATTTTTACTCTGGATCGCTGCTGGTTTACTTGCCATTTCTTGGGTACTGGTATTTAAGAGTTGAATAGGAGGAAGAGCCTTTATCTTCCAGATCCCTCTCCTGTGGAACCAGCTCTCTGTAGGGTGGTGATGTGTTAGCAACTATTAAAAATTCTCAGATGCAGAACAAATGAAAATATTTAAAGAAAAAAAATGACACCCTTGAAACTTGCCATATATCAGGACTCTTGTGTCTTCAGTTGTCTCTTCCCATAACTCATCATTTCTTCCAGCATCTTCTTCATAACATTATAGAAAAGCTGCTCACTACCCCCATCGCCCCCACCCTCCTCTAACTTTTGCAATTCTTCTGGGACTTTTTATTGCTGATATTTTCGTGGTTCATTTGATGTTGCCATTGTGAAAGTGTGTGCATTTGCATTGCTTATAGTTCCTTAGAGACAATGTCAGATGGAAGAAAAAAAAAAAAGGCACACAAAAAGAAGAGAGTATGGGGTTGTTGACAGAAAATTTGCATTAATGGTGGCTTGACGGTCAAAAACATTTTTTTAAAACTGTGAGGTCAAGTTTGTGCACACTCAGTCATGCATGAGATGCTGCATCTGCTTCGATGTACCCAAGATCAATTGTACTTTATGTTTTGTTTTTCTAAATAGCCTTTTGGTTGTGCATTTGGTTGTGTAGATAGACGGATAGAATACTGCACACTATTTCAGTCGTTTCTCTTCCAGATCAATAAACACATTCCTTTTTTGTTTCTTTCTGAAGAACAACTTGAGGAGGATAAATTGCACAATAATGGAGGTAAAGTATTGTCATCTGAACTCAAAAACACTCATTTTGGCTGCTCACTTTCAAGTATTTTTTTCTCTGTTGATCTTTCTCTGTCATTCAGCTGAAAGTTTAGTTTTAGTAAAAGTCAGCTTGTGTTTTAACTCATGCAGCTTTGCCCTGTTCTGTTCTTGAGCACTTTTCCATTTCTCATTCTCTTCCTCCATCAAGCGATGCTTAATCTGCTCCACGCCAGCATATTTGAACACCACTGCTGCTCGTGTGCTCACATCAGATAATGGAAAAAATGTATTTTTCATTGCTCAGATTAATGCAGTTAACTTGTTGTAAATATATTCTTTGCCCTAGGACTTCATCAAATGCTTCAATTAAGACAAAAAATGCTTATGGATATTTTAGTATTACACACACACGAAGAACGTGCTTAGTTTAACTGCACCATTTTATTGCAAAATGCTCAAATTACAAAAAAATAACTTCTTCCTTTAATCTAAGTTGTGTCTTGATATACAGACAGTTTTAGTTTTGGGTTCATTTAAAAAAAATGTAAGTATTTTTTGTTTTGCAGAGCAATGTTGCATTTTAGTTTTTCATGGGTAGTCTTTTACAAAGCTGTGAGAAACATGAACAGAATTCCATTTATTATTCCATGTAAAATATATTGCACACAGTACTATGCAAAAGTCATGAGTCACCCCTCAAACCTTTGTTTTTTCCATGGAGTTTTTAGTGATTTTTAAGAATGGTCTTAAGCTATAGTTATTCAGGGTTTTTTTTTTTTTTGAAGATCTTTAAATTGGCTGTTTTTTTCACTCATTTTCAGCGAAGTTCTTGTACTTAAGTACACAAAAGTACATACAGTCATGTAAGGAAATAGGAAAAAATCCAGGAAAGCACAAGACCTGACAGAGTCATCAGTTCAGTGGCAACAGAATTTGAACACGTTAACTCAAATTGTTAGAGGTACAGAGCGAGTCAAGAAAGAGGTACAAGAGTGAGTGTCTACAGCCGTCTATAAACATGTTGGAGACTCTGTCATGGTTTGGGGCTGCGTTTCAGCCAGTGGTGTATTTAATGTTTTTTGGAATTATGAATGCGGAAAGTACATTCAGATTTTGAGCCAACATGCAGTACCTTCTGAACATGGCCTTAGAGCTGTTATATATCAGCTTTATTTTTCATCATAACAGTGATCCCAAACATACTGCCGAAGCAGTAAAAGCATACCTGGATAGAAATACACACAATGGAACATTATCAGACATGGATTGGCCTCTCCAGAGCCCAGAGCTCAACATTACTGAAGAAGTGTGAGAGTGGAGCAAAAAGCAGTCACCATCCACAGAAGAGCTTTGAATGTCCTTCAAGAAGCCTGGAGAACTATTCCTGAAGACTAACTGCTTAAGAGAGTTCAGGCTGGGTTGAAGAATGAACATGAAGCTTGTTTTATTTGTACAAACTCTGTTTTTGCCTTATATCTTTTGATGTTCGTTGTTGGATGAGTCAATGAATCACTGCACCTATTCCACTTTTTCCCAGCAAAAAATAAAGAATTGAGGGACGGCTCAAGACTTTCGTACAGTACTGTAGGTGGATATTGAATTGTAGACGGATATCTCCACACCTGGACAAACGAAACCAAAACTATTTGCATGAGTTGAAACCACTACGTGCAGCTAAAATATGTTATTTTGTTATTTTTGTAAAATTGTGAAAAATGTATTTTAGCAACATGTTACAACCAGATGTTTGTCTCTGTCTTTGTGGACTTTCAACAGGGAGCCAGACCAAACAGGACTGGTCCATTCAGTGGCCCACATCAGAATCTGGCAAAGAAAACACTCCGGTGTGCCAGCCAGAGGCCAGTCAGTGGATTCGGTTCCAGCTCTCTCAAAGCCCCAAAGTCCAGTCCAAGTACAACCAGCACATGTGCCACAGCCCACAGGCCCTGGCCCCCCCTTTGTATGCCGATCGACTCACTGTCGACAGCCCCTCTTCAGGGCTCTTCCCTCCCTTGGACTCTGGTCATCGCTCCCTGCCCCCATCACCCCGCCAGAGGCATTTTGGTCACACCCCTCCTCGGACTCATTTGGTGGTCAACACCATGACCCCACCTGGCACTCCTCCCATGCGGCGAAGGAATAAGGTGAAGGCCCCAGGAACACCACCTCCGCCAAGCCGCAAACTTATCCATCTTTTGCCAGGCTTCACCGCTCTGCACCGCAGCAAATCCCATGAGTTCCAGCTGGGGAACCGCTTGGATGACACACAGACACCAAAGTAAGTTTTGTGCTTCTCTGGATTTTTAATGGCAAATAGTGGCAGCCATTTTGGAGCACTGTGTGTGTTTTTGAGTGAATACAGAGGTTATTTTACTTCTAGGCTTCAGAAGTTGGTATTTACGTTTATCATTCCCAAACCATGGGAAAAAACAAATTAAATGTTATTAATGTATTCCAAAGTGTTTTTTTGGAATGTTTGCAAATGAGCCTCTATATGGAAGTTTTGGGCATTAGAACCAAGGATTAAATATCATTTAAAGAATTCTGTGACTAAACAATAAACAATTAAGGGCTGATTTATGTCAAGTTAATCCACTGAATGAAAGTATTATTAAATATATAATTTTTGCCTGTGACTTTACTTTAGACACTATAGTTTACCCTAATAAAAATAAGAAAGTAGCAGAAACAACATAAAGACAATAACAAAATGTAACCATCTGTGATTAAAACACAAATAGGCAATTCCTTTATGAGTTATTATTACCACATTTATGGAATGAATCACTGTATTTTTCGGACCATAAGGCGCACTGGATTAGAAGACGCACTGTTTTCATACATAAGGCGCACCGCATTATAAGGCACATTAAGCGAAACAAAACAGTCAGATAAGTCAAATTTTACTCAACTCATTCTTCTTGCTCCCTCCACTTCCGTACCATTGATTCATTAATGTTGAATTCTCTCGCAGCTGCTATATTCCCATGTTGTTGCAGTATATTAATGACTAACCTCGTATTGTGGATGGATTATCTCACTTGTTCTCTTGACTGAAGTTTGGTCCGTTTACAGCATCCTGCCATGCGATTGCATTTGTTCCTGACCATCGGGAACCCTCACGTTAACTTTTATTGAGTGGAAAAAAGTTAGCATTATTCCTCCAGCTTCACTGTTTATGTTATGCTAACATAGCTGTGTGCGAGCGATCATGTAGCACATCATTATATACCAGCTAGTCCAATTTCAGTAACCCTACAAACATCACTGCTGTTTAGTTTTCTGTCTTCATGTATGTTGGAAGTGATAGCAGAGCTGTACGTTTTAATTTTTTCAGAAATCTCTCAGTCAGATCATGTTTAGGTGCACAGCAAAATCTCCAGTGTTAAATTAACACTGGAGAGTGTCTATATGGGTCCACACCTCTGAGTGTTAAATACAACACTGTTGAGTGTTAAATTAACACTTTTGACAGTGTTATATGTTTAAAAGTAACCTAGTCAGTTTTGAAGATTAGCAAAGACTAACACTGAGCAGTGCTGATTTTCTAACACTGGAAAATAACTCAAAATGTTAGAAATATTCCAGTGTTAGAAAATCAGCACTGCTCAGTGTTAGTCTTTGCTAATCTTCAAAACTGACTAGGTTACTTTTAAACATATAACACTGTCAAAAGTGTTAATTTAACACTCAACAGTGTTGTATTTAACACTCAGAGGTGTGGACCCATATAGACACTCTCCAGTGTTAATTTAACACTGGAGATTTTGCTGTATGGAAACTAGCGAGTTAACTTTCTGCTAACTTCTAACTCCGTTAAATTTAATAAATTCTGTTTTCATGGATGCCTGGATGTTAAACTTCATTGTTACACCTGGTAAAGCAGCAACACTGATCATTTTATTAAAGATGAAATAATTTAGACAGTATTTAACTCTCAGTGATGCCACTGCTCGTTTAACTTTGGGACCTGAAGCAGACTGAGTTTTGGACCCAGATTACTCTGCGAGGCTCTTGACTATGGAGCCGTAATGCTCCGACAATCCATCAAGCGGTGCAGCTTCGTAACTTCCCAAAGTCATACTAAAACATTTTTTGACAGAATGTGTACCACTTAAAATCGGTTCGAGGTCTGTAAGCATAGAATTCATACATAAGGGTCACCGGATTATAAGGTGCACTGTCGATCTTTTGTTGTTGAGAAAATTAAAGGATTTTAAGTGCGCCTTATAGTGCGGAAAATACGGTAATTGAAACTTTTACACAACAGTTTTCAGCACAGCATGAAAAGAAGGGACTTTACACCTAGTATACACTTGCAGCTGGTGCACACTGCATTTTGGTGTTGTTTTGGTTTGTCATGCACTTCGTGATTTTTGTTACCTTCATGAAGCAATATGAGTCTATGACTTGCTTTGCTTTGTGTTGACTTCTTCTGCTGCTATTTTTTGTTTCCGAGTAGCAACACCTATCATTCAGGGGAAGAGTCCAGTGTGCCCTGTGCGCCAGTTTAAATGCTTATGAGGCTGTGGTGAAGTCACAGTTGGCGCATCCAAACCTATATACTAAGCTTACTAGTCAAAAACATATGGATTGCAGCTGTCTATCTTGAAAGTCTGACCAAGATCCTACATGTGTCATTATATGGCACCTGAAGTGTTTTCAGTATTTTTTTTTGTATGTTTGTCAGACTTAAATGTTTCAGATAATCAAACAAATGTAAATATTATACAAAGATAACACGAGTAAACACAAAATGCAGTTTCTAAATGAAGACGTTTATTTAGTAAGGGGGGAAATAAATCCAAACCTACATGGCCCTTTGTTTGCAAGAACTGACAATGAGTCTTTTACAGCGCTGTGGAGGAATTTTGGCCCACTCATCTTTGCAGAATTGCTGTAAATTATTGTATCTCTCATTTCTTCCTGAATTTCCTTTGACCCCGCCATAATGTCTGGCTTTTGAGTATCTTTTAGTCTACTTCACTTGGTCCTATTTCAATGATTTCTTGATTGTCAGATATAATTCACAGATACAAATGATATGGGTTTCAAAACTATATTATGCTGTTTTATAGACAGTCAAAATTTGAAGCTGTATGATACCATAGGAGATAAAAGAATTGATAATGTTGCATATTCACACATCTACTTAAACTGATAAAGGCAGAGGGGCAGTGTTACATCTAAGCCATTTAAAAGTATTTATTTTCACAAATGTGAAAACCTGTGATAGGGTTTTAGGGATTTAATCAGTACCAGGAGAGGAATGTTAATATTATATTTTGTTTGCAAGGCAGATGATGATGGATCAAATGCAGAATTAGGTAAGGCTTTGTTTTAATTTAGGTTTGAAGCTTCATGGCTTCTATTTCACCAAATTGTTTCAGTGTAAAAATGATCTCAGTGATAATAGTCTAAGGTAGCGGTGGTCAGTTAATTTCAGTTGAAGCCCTGCCTGAAGCAAACATTCAGAGATGCAGTCCTGTCCTCCCTCTGCTCTGTACAAAGTCTCAAAATGTAATTCATTCTGATCCAAGAAAGGAATGGCTTAGAAGGGAGGTTAGGACCATACCTTTCCTTTAGCAGTTTTACTGGAACTTAATCTTCCACCAGACCCCAATCAGATTAATTCCTGGGAGGACATCATTGCCTATAAAGGACCACCGGCCTGTCGGTAGAGATAAGGGGCCTTCGGGCTGAGTTCCTGACTGGCCTTCCCTATGTCTGGTGCTATGCTGATCAGATTTGGTCACAAACAGGGTCCACCACTGCTTGGTAATCAGGAACCAGAGTCTGCCTCAGGAGAGCTGCACTCATTTTGATAATACCATTAGATGACAGTGCCCCATCACTGCTACACTTGGTAAGTTAATATTTTAGAGCTGTCCTCTGCTTTTATGATGGCCATCTGGGTTATATGTGGTATGGGCCTGGATGTACACAGGGCTACATCCACAATATCAGTGGGCATGGCTGTGTGTATGTGTGTATCTGCTTGGTGACGACTGGATCATAGCTCCAGTGAATAGGCTCAAACGGCATTAGAGAATTGATTACCGGTCCCAAAGCAGTGATAAACTGCAGACTGTGAATTGAGCCACTCTAATCAATGGAAAATGTATGCCTGGAAATGTTGCAACTCATTGAGACAGGGCAGATTTGCTGGCTTCTCTGATAGCTTAGTACCTCTCCTAATACATCATAATTGGATGCAGAATGGTGCTGGCAAGCATCAGGTTGGTTTTTCGTCTCTGGCGTCTCTTGTTTCTTTTATGTCTGTGCAAGGAAGTAGTAGGTGTCAGTTTGTTTTTCTCTTCCTTGATGCAAAGGAGACTGAAGACTGAATCATACAGTTTGATTATTTCTTAAATGCTGCATCACGATTCGTCATGTGGTTTTTCACTTAAAGATTTGGGAAGATGAGAATCTTACAAATATTCCACCAGAGGGAAAAACCTTGATAAAAATACGTAAAATATCACACAAGTTTTTTGGTTTTTTTTTTTAAGCTAAATAAAAAGCTTTTTGCTATGCTCTTTCCATACTTCCCACATTGCCCCCTGTTACTAGGATTTTAATAAGTGCATAGTGCTCCTTGGGTTCTCATTTTCTTGTGCTTAATTGCCTGGCAATGTGGCCAGGACGCAATAGGCAGGGATTACCCTCTGACCCCAAGAGACATTATTCTCCCTTCATCTTAATGAGATATGGGCTAATTTCTCATTATCTAATTTCTGATTATCACTGCACAAAGACAGTGCAGCTGAATGTGCAAGACTGCCCCCCCCATACTTTGTTGAAAGAAAACTCGAGTTTGGTTTTGACAGATACGATATGATAGATAATGGGGGTTTCAATGTGTGAAAATGTGAAGAGTTCCTCTTGCTATCTTTTTTTAAATTTTTTATCTTGGATGCAATCAACTATAACCATTAACTCAGAGATAAAGATTTTAAAAAGGAGATAAAACATGGATATGAATGGAAAGTAATCATATTCGGCTTTCAGCATTTTTCCACTCATGTTCATGGTGTGTTGTCGTCATCACAGTGTGAAAGCAAAGTTATATTAATATCTGAGTGCTTTCAATTTCAAGATATGTTTAGTGTTATTCTTTTTTGGCATATATATCATCTAAAATCATTTAGAAATGTTTTTGCATTGTACACGTTCTCTAAAGTTGGCTTTCGAAGCATCTTCATATCCTTTCTAATGTATATTAGCCTCCATTTCCACGTTTTTTATTTTTTCACACGATAGGTTTGAGATACTGAC